TGCTAGTGAATTAATTTCAGAAAAACAAGTGGATTGTCAAAGAAAAAAAATTCTATGCAAACGTTATTATTAATAACGTTATTATTAATAATAATAATTTAAAAAAGATTAATACAAAAATTGTAATACTTTTTTTTATTTTTATAAAAAAAAAAATTCTATGCAAACGTTATTATTAATAATAATAATTAAAAAAAAATTAATCAATTTTTTTTAATACTTTTTTAAATTTTTATTTGTAATCATCTCGCGACCCCCACTTTGGGAACCCCTGCTCTAGAGGAGGTCTGCATGGAGGAATGGGCCAAAAATACCAGCAACAGTGTGTGAAAACCTTGTGAAGACTTACAGAAAACGTTTGACCTCTGTCATTGCCAACAAAGGGTATATAACAAAGTATTGAGATTAACTTTTGTTATTGACCAAATACTTATTTTCCACCATAATTTGCAAATAAATTGTTTAAAAATCAGACAATGTGATTTTCTGGATTTTTTTTTTTCTCATTTTGTCTCTCATAGTTGAGGTATACCTAGGATGACAATTACAGGCCTCATCTTTTTAAGTGGGAGAACTTGCACAATTGGTGGCTGACTAAATACTTTTTTGCCCCACTGTACATGATGGGATAGTCCCCGCTGACCCTTAACAACACAAACTGTTAAAAAATCAGACGCATAGATGAATATCACAAACACATAACTACATTTTGTTATGGTAGCATGTCAGGAAATCAGTACCATCTTTTTGGGGAATATTTGTAATGTTTTGGAGCTAAAATAAATGCATAACATAACTCTGTGGCTGAAATGTTTTTAGTAAACATTCAGTTGATTCCTGAACACTTGATTTAGGGATTTTAAATGCCTACATTTCTTATCCATTTTAGTAACTAGAACCTCATTCCGCCTAGCAAGTAGGAAGAAATACAAAATATAAAATTGCTTCCCTGAGACTGACCATGAATTTTTTATTTTGCCTGCGGTATATACATGATTGCAAAAAGTAACACAATTTGGTGGCACTTAACTAGAGGATTATAGCCATCAATATTAGATGAAGAAGTTCTCCCTCAAGTTAATGGAATCCTTGGATGCATGCCCGTATTCGAGGGGAGACTGATAAGGAACGGATCATTCAACTTCCTTCCTTAACAGTTGAATTACTATATTGATATTTAAATGGCCCAGAGATACAAATACGTTATGTTTCACCTAACACTTCAGCCACTGTACGTTCTCTGTTCTACTTCCTAAGCCACACTGTTCATCAGATTACAATACTCACAGGTAAAACTGTAAGCTTGTTTACTTTATTGATCTCATCAAATGTTGGGATACATTATTTTTATGAAATGGAGGTATACAAAGAGTGGTTGGCAAGCAGCCTGTTAACCAGAGTGGTAACATTATTAACACTACAAGTAGGATTTGTGGTTGTAGTATAGGTATTTGTATTGTTGTTTGTGTTATTAGTTGTAATAGTATGTTGTCCATAGAGGCAGTTCCTTCGATGAAGAGAGAAAGGGCATTGCGTAGCCTCGGGGAAAATACTGCAGAAGCACCATCTCTCCTTTTCTTTGTGGTAACTTTGGGGACATTTAGAAGGCAAGCTGCTGAAGACCTTAGGGGATACGTGAGGGGACAGGAAATGATCGACAGTATGGGATGTAGGGAGGAGCGGAACCATTTATTGCCTTAAAAACCTTGAAGGAGGACTGCATTATGTTGCAACCTGCAGCAAGGTATACATTCTTGGGGAAAACAAGTTTCAGTGCAGACAATCCAATTCCCTCCTTTCTTTTATGTCCGTTCTGTTTGAGTCCAACAACAATAGAGAGAAGGTAAACATTTCAGACAAACATCTGTTACAGAATACTTTTTTAATTAGTTTAACTTCTTACACCAATTGACTTGTTTGATAGTTGAAATACAACTTTCTCACTAATGTTTTACTCCTACGTTTGTTCCCAATGTGTCAAAGTCAACTTTATTGTCAATCTTTCAATTTGTGTGTACTGACAGAGAGATCGAAATATCGTTTCCCACAATCCCGAATTCAAAAATACAAATATGTAAAAATATGTATATACCTACATATACACAATAAAGAGACACATTTATACATATGCACACATTAAGACATACATGCAAGCACAACAATCAATATATACAAAATAACAGTCACTTCAAAGTGTGTGTTTGTATAAGATTGATCCTCATCCAATTTCATTTGAATGTCAACATATTTACTGCAACCTGTGTATACTCCAAAGCAACAAATCATGTTCACTACATTCTGTGGCATAACTCATTGTAAAGCTGAAAAATGGGTTGCAACATTAACATCATCTCAAACAATTAGCTCTGTGAAAAGTGTAGAAAGGGAGTCGTTAGGTTGGATCGATGCTGTTAGACAAATGTTTATCATTTACTGTTGACCATAGTGAAGTCACATTTTGGCTAGCTCTGACTGCTGGAATCGGGTTTCAGTCTTTCTGACTGTTGGTCACAGTCAGTCAATGGATGGGATGGGTCCCCTGACTGCTCGTTGTGTGACAGCATGTGCATGTATGAACGCTCATTTCCAAAACATACCAGATGTCCAGTTTCTCTTTATGTCCTCCAGAGCCTCTGTTCTGCTCCGTCAGGGTCATCATGAGAATCATCATGAAGACATTCATATCCCTGCATTTGATAAAGTTCTTAAGTAAAGTTTTGGGAGATAAGGAAAACTTCATTTAAGAGTGTAAATTATTGTGTTTTGTTTTGTAATAAATGGTTTTAAAAATGCTATTTGATAGAATTTATGCTTCGGATTAACGCAAAAATAACACATTTAAATGATAACTAATGTTTATTTCTTGAAGTATGGTGAGTGGGAGCCAGTATTCTCAATCTAACCAGATGTTGTATCCCGAGTGAGATCACAGTTAAAGATAGTGGGCATTTAGTTATGATTTGATATTAATAGATATGTAGGAATATTATTATGTATGGGTCCGTCCCACTTGATGTAAAATGTATCAATTTGATTTATATATTATATAAATGATATTATATGTACAGCACTTTGGCTCGATCAAAAATCGTTTATAAATGTGCTATATAAATAAAACTTGATTTGATTTGATTTAATGGTCAGTAATATATTTAAAATATAAAAACATTCAGCTAGCAGCATAACCACCTTATTTGATGTAAATAATAAAAAGCATAGCACGACATAGAAATGAAGTTTAACCTCTACTTGTCCTTGCTGCAGAGAACAAAGCTCTTTATTTCCTTCGCTGCTGTTCTCACACCCCGCGTTGAGGTCACACATTATTTCCAGAGTCTCACGATGCAGTTTCACCGTGTAATAAACACAAGGTTTCTTTACTTTTGTCCTTACCATTTCCTATTGTCTAAACACTGACAATACCATCATTAGGAGCGTAAGCAGAAGCCATGGATTTACGGCACTTGGCTGCCTCTAAATCTTTTTCTTTCTCTTTGTTGTCTAACTTTCTTATTTACTTTTACCACCTCTGTCTGACAAATATAACATCTTATTATTCTGAACTGAACTGAGACAGTTTGTTCTTTATTCTTTTATGGACTTAAATACAATCCAAGCACATATTCACCACTCATTGTATTGTAAACAGACATGTATAAATTGCAATATAATGTTTTGTTTTTATTAAGGAAACAGATCATCATTATACACTACACTAAGTATCAATCACTTGTACATTTCCTCTGCTTGTCTGGTAATGTGATTTTAGTAATGGTAGGTGGGGGGTTGTAGCCTGTCACAGATCAAGGGAATACCTCACCTCAGCTTTGCCAGTCGCCTCAGGCTTAATGCTTCTCATTCGTAACCGAGGGTCTCCTCTGACTCACAGAGTCAATAAAAGAGATTTTAATACTTAAACCATTATTAGTTCAAATCATTGTCAAAAAGGCGGGATGAATCACTGACTTATGCTCTATCAATGGCAGGAAATTGGTCCATGCATTCTGCGTTATTGACACTTAAGGGCCTGAAAACAAGTAATGCTAATGACATAATCTAGCTACCTACCCCCCCCCCTCTCCAGCTTGTCTGTCCTCCTGCCTCAGACAAACGGGCTCATCTGTACTGGATCATTTGCCGTCTCTTGATACGCTGCGGTTTATAGCCAATTATTTCTCGCGATCCATTATCGATTACAGTGTTATCTTTCTTGCATTGCTTAATCTTTTGGCACAGGAACACAGCGGCTCGCAGGGGGGCCGGGAAACAAACTGCCTAGCGATGAGAACACTAGTTTAGATGGATGGTTGTTCATTTGCTTGTAGATGGGAACAGTTTAAATTCAAACTCATTCAGACTTTATTCAGTATTCGAGAGGGTAGGGTGTTTTTTATTTGCAGCTCCCTGTATTAGGAATTTGAAACAACAGCAGTCAATGTATCCAAATAATTAGTATGGATGAATGAAGTCCTCTGAGGTTCACACACTATTGTTTGTGTTTGCTTTGTCCGGTAGTTCAACATGGGTGACAATAAACCGGAAGGACAATTATTATTTTGACTGAATTTTGAAAACTGACTTTTTGTGCATCTCTCTGTCTTCTTTCTAGTTGGGTTAATAATTTTGGTCATGAGGGTCTTGGTCTTCTGCTGGAAGCGCTGGAGAAGCTGCTGGATAAGAAACAGTAAGTGATCTCTTATTACATCCCAGTATCTGGCATTTTTTAAGCGACAGGTTCTGATGCGCTCAATAATCACAATATCCTTTTTCATTTTTGTTTTTCAGGCAAGAAAATATTGATAAACGGAACCAACATAAGCTTATCCAATGCTTGAAGGCTTTTATGAACAACAAGGTTTGTAAGAGTCAACAAAGATTATCTACACACAATGTTACCTCATTATACATGCGTGATTCAATGGTATTGCTTGGATGCAGTCCTAAATGCCCTGCTAATTTCAATTCACTATTTAAAGTGTAAAGACAATGTCTAATATTTAATACCAGTGTGTAAAAATAATGCTATAATAAAGAAAAAACCGGAAACTCTGACAAGCCTGGGATGGTGTCAAACCAAAGGGAAGCACATTTTACTATTTCAAGCACACAGTCTCAGATCTTTTAATTATCTTTTTTTGGGAAAGCCTGGCTCATTTCTCAAAAGTGGCACACATTTCAAGGATAAATGAACTATTGATATTGCTTCTCGTGGAGCTAATCCCCACACGTGGTCTGCTCTGCCCATTCCTTCAGTGGTGGGGAGACTAAAAGGTACAGGAGACTATAAGCATTTGTCCCTATAGTCATGTCCTGAATTGAATTAATTCATCATCCTCTCCATTTTCTCCGATGGCCTCGTTGTCCCTCCTTAAAAGAAAATTAAGGCTAACTATATCTAACTTACATTTGAGCTTCTTTCTATAATTCATTTTTTACCTGAAGTGAAAGTTCCCCATGAATGCAAATGCTCTCATTAATTTATACCCAATGGACCTTTTCTGTTTCCCACCTCCTCCATTCTATGTCTCACAGTATGGACTGCAAAGGATCTTGGGAGATGAGCGGAGCCTGCTGCTGTTGGCTCGAGCCATTGACCCAAAACAGACCAGCATGATGACAGAGACCGTCAAAATTCTGTCTGCTTTCTGTATTATTGGAGAGGAAAACATGTAAGTCCAATTACCTGACTGTTTGTCACATTAAGTTCTCACACATCTTGCTCTTTCTTGAGTCTTGCATAAAATGAAAGACTCAATATGTAAATGTATCCTCCCAATAATGTTACGTTACATACATATTTGGTCACATATCAGATAACGTATTTAAAAGCTTCAGTTCTAATCGCTAAGGTGTCAAATGATTAGCCATTAGGTGTGAATATAAATCCACTTTTGTTCCTTGTTACTCAGGATAATCTGCAAACATCACTGCGGACATTTTCCATTGGATCCATTGTAGACACTGTCCAGAGGTTTCAGTGAAAGATACCATAAACATTTTCAAATATAAGCATAGCTATTTCCCAGCTTACATTGTGGTATTTTGTTTTGCAATTTGACCCTTTAAATATTTTACGTATTTAAAGTTGAAAGTGTACTTTCTCAGTAAATCACAGCTGATAGGGAAACAACACGATACCAATACCAAATATATACATATATATATACAAAGATGATAAAGATTAGGTCCGTCTCCACTCTGTTTTCACTCTCTAATGTTTAGCAAGAAGATAGGAGACGTCTGTTTCTTGTAAACACTTGAATATCACTATTGTTTCAATCGCCTCTCACTGGGTGGCATGTGCTCAGTCAGAGGCTGAGCCGCATGTATTCATGTTAACCCACTGTGAGCATGCTCATCGATGACAGATGACCTCACACAGGATAGACATTTGTAGGGTCCCGTGGTTAGATGATGCAGTTTAGTCTGTTTAATGTGTTGAACTACTCAGTGCAGTTTGCCACGGACACACCGCCCATCTGACAGCTTATAAATTGGATTTAAGGGAGTGTTTTTTATTGTTTCCCTCAGGGCCAGACTAGAATAACAATGGCACTTCAAAGTCAGTCTGTATGCAGTGCTGGAAATAAAAAAAAACACAAAATCTGCTGGAGAAGCTGAGTTCAGCAGAGTGTCTCACACCTCTGACCGTCCAGATAATCCTTTATGAATGTAACACTTTCACACTTTGACATTTAATAAATGATCTATTACAGTCACCACTACACCATGCCCGCAGACAGCTATTTAACCAAATATGGGGAGATTAGATAGTGCATGTCTGTCTGTCTCAATCTCAAAGTGTTCAAGACTAAGTTAAAGCTAGCATGGAAATCTTTGCCATGATCACATCGCTGCATTAAAATGAACCTATCCTGTCAAAATGACAGCCAAAGGAGCCGAGGCGTCACTTTCTTGCTCAAAAAACGTCTCTACCAACCTATGTTGTGACGCTGGCTCATGTTCAACACCCACTTCAGCTGACAGCATCAAAAGGGAACACGACAAGTTAAGCAGATCTATCTGGCCCGTTTGAAGCCTTGCCTGAACCGGCTTTAAAGCTGCTCAGTATGCAGCACCCCCCCATGCTTGTCTGTGACTCTGTAACCCCTATCACAGAGCGTGGCTGTTCAATTTATCTCTTTGTCAAGTTAACTCCACACATACAGTCCTTTTGGTCGGACACACCATCTCGCACACTCACAAAGCAACTGCTATTCATTTGTCATCCTGAAAGTCTTATTTCTTTGTGCTGATAAGGACAATACAAATGGAAAAAACAAGCCAACTGGCAGGTGTGAGTATGAACATGCATAAGGCTGATATTTCTAAGTTTAACCTTTGCCCTTGTGTGTCCATTTATTTATTTTTGAACACATTTATCGGAACAAAAAGGTGAACGTATATCAGACTAAGAGCCCTTTTGTACTCCGGGAGAAAGAAGGTTAAAGAAAGGACTAAGCGTTTCAATATCTCAATTGATTACGGTAAAATAGCGAATGGGGCCTTGAAGTGTCAGAGAGACCACCTGTTTCCAATTATAATGTGTGCACTTGTAAATCACTGTTTACATAAGTGCTCAAAAGACATCAATTAACTTTTATTGCATCCTGTGTGTGTGCGTTTGCATGTGCAGCACACCATTCCTCTTTCATTTACAATTTAGAGGCGGAAATTGTCCAATGTTCTATTTAGCGGAGCTGCCTTGAGCCCTTGCAAGTGCTCAATTTGCTTACCTTCTCAATAGGCGTATTTGCACATTAGTCCCTACTATAATTTTCATCCTTTCTCACACAGCCAAATACACTCATCCACAATTGCTTTGACAATTGAAAACATTTGCAGTAAAACCCTGTTTTTGTATAGCATCACTTTAGTAACAAGCATGATGAGGTCAAAATTGGATACTGCCACAATAATAGACCAGATTGCATTCAAAGAGATGGAGCGCGGTAACATTTGTCAGGGCGACCAAAGACTGGCCGAGCAAATGTCCACACCAACACACAGGGGAGATAAGATACACAGTGGTTGAGCTGGAAATTGTGAGTAAATGTCCTGTCAGTGAGGTGATAAAAGTATTTGTTGACTCTTGTGTTGTGCCTGCTCCCTGTTCCCTGTTTTCTTCCAGCCTGGATAAGATTCTAGCTGCCATGACAATTGCTGCAGAGAGGAACAACAAAGAGAGATTTGCTTCGATTGTGGAAGGACTGGAGAACCACGAAGCCCAGCAGCTCCAGGTTAGGAATCACACCAAAAAGAAACACAATAACATCACTGTCTGATAGTTATTATGAATGAGTTTGTTTTGTTTTAAAGGGGACCTATCATGCAAAATGCACGTGTTCCTGTCTTTTATACAAACATGTGTCCTCTCTTTGTAAAGAGATTCTGAAAGTTTCAGGAAAAAAGATTCACTCACTTTTCATCCTGATCCATTTCTATAAAAACCTGTCTGAAAATGAGCTGATCAGATTTCGGCCACTTTATGATGTCATAACGGTTTTTTGGCTTGTATAATCATTAGCCAATCACCAACCAAGGTAACCCCCCCCCACACCTTATCACCTGAATCACCATTGTGTTCTTTTTAACCAAATCTCTCTCAGAGGGGCGTGGGGAGGGGCTCCTTATTTTCATCTAAAGTAACAGACAGAGAATCAGCACTTTGGAAACAGGACTGAAACAGAGGGGATTATGGGTAATGCTGCAATGATCTGTTTGGTGTTTGGAGCAAAACACTTCAGAGACATGTTTTGTATATATCTGAGACCTATGATATATTGATGAAAAACAGTATAATAGGGGACCTTTAAAGGATAAAGGTGACCCTAATGGTTATTTGGCCAAAACTCTTAATTAATTAATTTTGCACTTAGAACACTCAACATTTCAGTATGCCTTGAGTACACACTTATTAATACAATCCAAACCTTTGAAATGAAGCAGGTAACTTATTAACAAAAGCAGGAGTTCTGCCATGTATTGCGGAAAGAAACCCATCACAGTCCAGTGTTATTCACACAAATCCCGTTTTGTCTTTAAAACTACATTTGATGCCAGACCATACAGACATTGACAGTCGAGTCACTCTGGGGCCCGTCGTGCCTCAGCTGTCTTCATACACGTGTTTTTCTCTGCTTTTCTTACTGTCCTTGGGTCCCCTTGTCAACCCCGCTGCACCTCTTGTACATGATGGGATGTGATCACTTCGCTATTGAAATGCACCTGGAGCTCCATTGCCACTGCTTTAATCCAAAACACCTGCTTCATTGAGGACATCTGCTGAGTTTTGCGAACACAAAAAAAAAAGATATATAAAAAATAGCAGAGGTTGAGTTCCAGTGAAACCTTTTGTCTCTTTTCTCTCTTCTCACATTTTCTCCTCCTCTCACTATCTTGCTCATTTTTTCTCACATCTTACAAATACTTCCCCTTGCTTTTTTCCACACTGCTGTCAAGTTGTGTCTCAGAGGACTCGGTGTGAAAGGGCAACTACTGTAAAGCACCTACCTCTCTTCATTTCCACTAGTCTTCTTTAGCAGCAGGAAAAAAACTTTACAGCAGCAATAAAATCGAAGCTTAAAACATGTTTTGTGAAACAAAAGAAGGGAATTACTTAAGGAATTACCTTTTTAACTACGGGGATTGTGAAGTCATGAAGGAAACTGATGAGGCGGGCGGTGAAAGTGAAAGTAGATATTCTTTTATTAGGGGGCTGTTGTTTTTCCTTTAAATTTTGCGGTTAATGAAATGAAGCTCTGCTAATTGTGAAGTAAATGAAAATGCTTTGCTGATGCAGGGGATTCCAGGAAATTAATAGACTTTTGTTATCCCAAACCTGTTAAGGGCTGTAGAAGTAGACTTAGATAATGTCATTAAACATTTTTTGCCGCAGTTCAGGCTATGCTTGCCTGCTGAACACGAGAGAAACTCTGCATTTCAACTTTTAAAAAAACCTCCCATCTGTCGCAATTTGATCACGATGTTTGGAACCCGCACTGCAGCTCTAAACACAGAGAACTCCCCAAACCTGAACCCCAACACAACCGCTTCCCACTCCACAGTACATGCTAGGTATTTCTGAGTTGCTTGATGTACGTTTCAATTTCCATGCAGAAGAAGAGAAAGAATTTTTCATGAGCTCCACAGCTTTCTTGCCTCACATCAATTCTGTGAAGATTTGGTGGAATGTCTTTTATGAATGCGGCTTCTGGTGGATACAGTAAAATGTCAGGTTTCAATGCACAGGTCTGGTTCCAGGCTCTAAAGCTTTGGTGGAACATGAACAAGTCAGCCATGTTCCTGGAGCCGCGCACTGGTGCAACGCAGTCAACAGCGGCACAACCTTTACTGCGACAAGCATGTGCTTTCCCAATGGGAGCGTACAGTATTTCACAGTATATCTGTATTGCATAACAACATGCACCAAAACAAACCAATACTCTTCATTTCAAATACATTTCTGTTCTACCTTTCATCAAATAAAAAATAAATTAAATTATATTATTGCACTAGTCAATCACAATCAACATTACGTTATTTGTACAACAGTATATAAATATTTAGGGTGAAAGCAATAGAATGATTGATAAGAGAGTATTTCAGAGGACATTCTTGGAGCTTCATTTCTAGGTTTTAGTAGGTAAGACATTTGATCAAACTGACCCAGGCAACTACACAAAATCAGCATTGTTTCGGCTCTTATTAATAAAGCAGAGCATTCAGAACAGGAAGTACAGGGTCAAAGTTTCAGAAAACGTTGTTTTACAGAATCCATGGGAATCCTTCAGCCTGCTATCGATTTTTTGTCCAAGGAAAACTGTCTTATCCATGGCTTGCTCCCCTGAAACACCTTACTGCTCATTATCATTCATCAGCGATTTTTCTTAACCCCCCTCTCTCACCCTATACACCCTATACACACGCACGCACGCACGCACACACACACACACACACACACACACACACACACCGCGGCTTTTCCCTTACCAATAAATCCATTAATAATGCGCAAACTGTGCTCTCTTTCTCTCTCTGTCTCTCTCTCTCTGTCTCTCCTTACCCTTCTTCCCTCATCGATGAAATCCATCCGTCTCTGTTTCGGAAAGAGAGTGTTAAGAGAAACAGTTATGCTAAAAGACATATATTTTTACATACAAAAACACAAAAGGTAGACTCATACTATTACGTCTTGTATGTGTTATTTCTTATTTGTAGTCTTTTCCTTATTTTGTGTGTCTCCTCCACAGGTCGCCTGCATGCAGCTGATCAATGCGCTGGTCACCTCCCCCGATGACCTGGACTTCCGGATACACCTACGCAACGAGTTCTTGAGATGTGGCCTCAAGAAGATCCTACCTGTGAGTATTCAACCTTTTCACAGCACATGGCTGCATTATTCACATGCATGAGAACTCAAGGTCGCTCCTGACTTTGTGAAAGACCTTTTTGCCCAAATATTTACTTTTTCCTGTGTCAATCGGTATATTCGATCAATGCTATTCATTACACATTCTGGTCAAATAACACAGCACTGTGGTGCCTTAGTAATTCTGTTATAACCTTACTTTTAATAGTAATGATTCCCAGAGGCTCTTTGAATATTTTCTAACTGCAACTAGTAGATCACATTATATCAGAACAAATCAGAGTTTGAATGTGTGCTGTTTAAAATTGTCCAAATTTGAAAATGTCTTTGAATATATAGTTAACAAATGACTAAAGAGCGTTTTCAGTCATTCAAAAACTTGGAACAACATGTGCTATTATGTAATTTTGTTTAGTTTTAACGATAAGGCATTCAAACCAAATAATCCAGGTGTCACTTAAAGGTAGGCTAGGTAATTCACTTCAGATACACTTTTTGTTATATTCCATGGAATGCTCTTAACATCCCGATAGCAATGAATAAATTAAATACATTTGACAAAAACATTCATCTGTGGAAGCCGTGGCGCTGTAAAAAGCACGACCAATCATCTGAGCCGGCCCGGCTAAAAATAACTGGATGGCCTACCTGCCTGTCAGCCTTCCATCTGTGCACAAACTTATCTCGTGCCCTCATTGGTCATGTGCGCGTTCGTGTGTGTTGGAGGAGGGGCTCTGTAAGGAAGTGGCAGATTGTTTCCGGTTGTGTATTTTCAAATTCTAGCGCACTCGAGCTGGTTTCTCCAAAATTACCTACCCCACCTTTAAGAGAAATGTCATACATAAGAAAAGTTTTTCTTATAAAGTAAATTAGTAGTAGTAGTTCTCTCGGTGTAACTAGTAGTAGTAGCTTGTGTCAGATGTGATGCAGTGCCAGCCCCTCATCACAGGTCGACCTGGCATCATTAGCAGCAGGCCTACAAATCTTCACATGAGGCGAAGGCAAACGAGCCCCAACTCATCACTCAAGCTCTCATTTGTAGCGAGTGGGGTGAGCGTGTCACAAAGCCAGTTGTTAATAAGTCATCCCAGCTGCTCCTGTTGATTATTACTGCCATCACTTTAATTATCTTCTATTCTGCCCCGTGATATGAAAGAGTCTCAGTGTACAGTCATTTATGAATGCCACATTCACCGCTTTTAATGCCCACATTCAAACTGACACTCGTTCATCTAATTATGAGTTATGCTCGAGAGCCAGCGTAGCCGTCGGCGAAAAAAAGAGATCACCACTGAAAAAATAGCAAAATCTGTTTTGTTCTTATAGTCCTTGACACATGTACTTGGCCCTTCTTTTCTACTTCCCTTTTTTTTTTGTTCAATTGTGCTCCTCCCTCTGAACCACTGTTGCTCAAGACAGATGGTGCGCCCCAAAAACAGTGCAGGGTGATTGATACCTGCAGAAATTGGGTTACATTTGGCCCTGTCTCTGTCTGTAAACTCCACTGCCGGTGATTCATAGAGAAGTGGTGAAGAGCACTGCCGGAGCCCCTCGTGGCTGGAACAGGTGTGCAGGAATAGGTTCTGTCTGGAGAGAGAGATTCCAGGGCGTCTCAGTTCAAAGTTCTCTACAGTACTCTACTAATATACTAGTATCACCGTTTTTACAATAGGTGACACAATTCCAATTGTAGAGGAATACGTTTTTAAAGTTATTTCTTGCAGGTGATACAATTCTTATCATAATCTACACTGCAAGATGACCTTTGTGTAACTTCACACGTTCAGCTATGTTCTGTGTGTCTAACTCATTATAGGAGCTGAAAGAGACAGAGGAGCTCGACATTCAGCTGAAGGTGTTCAATGAGAATAAGGAGGAGGACTCCATCGAACTCTCACATCGCCTGGAAGACATCCGCGCTGAGATGGAATATCCTTTTTCCCCCCTCCCTCTGTGTGAATATACAGATAAATCGGCCTGCAGAACTAACAGTGTGAGATGAGTGTATATTGTGGGTTTGGTCAAGCTTTAAGGGCTTAAGCCTCTCATAGCTTGGTTCATTAGAGAAGGATTTGATGAGCCAGAGCACAATATCCAGCTCCGTCTCTGACCAGGTATAGGTAAATAACCCTGTCATCTGAACCTCCCACCTATGCACTCTTCCGTTTTATTGACTATCATCCTTGTCTCCTCTCCTTTCCTCTTCTATTTGACTTATAGGACTGTAGACAAAAAACAAAAAAAAAGAATATCAGACTGGCTGGTTCTTACCAATTATTATTAACAGAACAAAATCAAAATGTGTTATGTTGAGTCATATTATATTACATGCACACTATTTCTCCTGTAAAGGCATTATCACTCATTGTCTTACTGTTCCATTTTTCAAAATTTGAATTGTCTCTCCCCCACCGATCTGCCAGTGTCCATTTGACTCCAAACATGCAGAGTAGAAGTTGATAAGGTGAGATTTAAATGAGTCCAGAGTTAGACACTTCTCCAAGCATCCCAGAGAATACCCTTTAATTATTCACAAATCTTCTCTGCGGCTATGTATGAACGTCTGACATTGTGAGCAGACAAACCAGACGCTGACATTGTTATGCAGATGGTCATTCGCACATCCTCTTTCTTCCACAAAATCCCCGACTTTTAGTACTGGCACCAAGTTCCGCAGTGAGTGACAGTGTGTGTTGACACATGAGGGTGAGGGGAGGAGGTTGTGGATGTGTGGGAGTGGAGAGGAAAAACAAGTGCACCTGGATTAATGATGTGCTTGAGCAGGTTCACAAATGAGTAGGCCCAATGTTTGTTTCCAAGGACAATGTGGTATTGATCTGCAGACTCTGAGCATGATTCGAATTCCCAGGCTACCTTTTTGTTCATTTTTCCGCATAGCTCTCAAACACCCACACACACAACTGCACACACACGTATATGCATGATATCACGCTGGTAGTACTTCTACTTCCTGAGCATTGCATATGTGTCTTGTTTCTACCAGCAGTTTCATGAATATTAACCCAAGGGGCTCGTCTCCTCTGTGTCCGGCCCCGGTCCAGGTGCAAGGAGGTGACTCCAGGCCACTAATGCATATTAATGAGCTGTGGAATGGTGATTGATTGACCCCAGCACTGACTGGCCGACGTCACACCTGACTGCCACTCATGTTTATTCATTATTTCAAGAGGAAGTGTAAAGAGAGAGACTGAGAGCGAGAAAAGACAGCGTGGAGGGGGTGTCACCGAACGGATTGGCATTCTACATTAGGTTTATGTCTGCAGCTTAGTGATAGACGAAGCTAGTTGGATACTTTCCCAGTCTGAGCTCCTTCTCATGTCCTCTCAAATGCTGCTGTGGTGAGGCTATAATTGAATCTCGCAGGATTGGTAATTCTCCCAGGCTTCATACTCAGCTAATACAAGGGAGGGAAATGATACTGCAGCGGAGCCTGTATTCCCATCCCTCTCTCTCCCTCTAAAAATTTGATATGGGATACGAGTTTAATTACAGGCATTGTTGAAATTAATAGGAAGAGTGTCAAACAGTATTTAAAAGAATTGATTTTCTGCAATTGCAACTGCTGCAGATTGTTTTGTGTGGATGATGGCATGGGAAATGGAGAATGCAGTTAAGTGCTGTTTTTTCTGTTTTTGAGGGAATAAATTATTATTTTATTTTTTTACAGAGTCATCATTCATTAGCTGTTGATGTAACATGACAAATAACATTAGGAATAAATAAAGCATTGACAGAACCGTTTAAAACACGTTAAAACATGTCCGCTCTAATCGGTCATGGGTTTTGAATAACACCATTAGTAAATCTGTCAATTTTTACAAGATGTTTGTAGTAGTGGATTTAGAAATATGACGGTTGCTATAGTGATCTTTTTGGTCTTAATTCATTCTGTACACTCAAGCGAAAAAAACTTATGCATTTAACAGATATATTCTCTACCTGATACACTAGGGAGAAGCATCACAACGTGGTTCATTCTGCCTCCATTATGAAAGTGTTGCTTCACTGTCTCTTTCACTACGTACATATTTAACACATTGTCAAGATCTGCACTTCATGTTAGGATGCCAATCAGGTTTTCATCACTAGAAGCTTAACAGGGTTCTCTCTACTAAGTCTTTTTCTTTTGCATGTGTGCTCATATCTGAAAGGCTTATTCCACTTTTTCAAACAAGATGAGTCTCCACGGGGAAATCCTCCTTTCTCAAGCAAACAAATTAAATAGGCACCAAATCATCCAGTTTCCTGGGGTCTTTGCTTTTTGGAGCTACACTTTTAGAACCCTGGTAGAATCACAGATTCAATTATTTTGAAATGAGGTGCTTGTCTTATCCTATACTATACTGTATGTCATACTGGTCCTTGCATTGTTTTTAATTTGATCCTTTCAATATCAAATGTTTCTTTGAAAAAAAAGCATCGCCTTTAGAACACATACTCAGTGAATCTTTAAAATACATAGTTACAGGGTATTTGAAAACAGAAGAATACAATGATGGACAGTCTGACTTAACATCTGTTTTATATGTCAAAGCCATCACTTCTTCCTCCTGGGGAAAGCAAACGTAAGACACATAATCAATACCTTTTGCAAATGTAATAACTTGGATTTTTCGCTTCTGACTGAATGTCAGTTTTAATCTGAGAAGTGAACCATATTTTTTCCCAGTGATTCCCCATCATTCTTGCTTTAAACATTCAAACACATGACTTTTTCTTGTAATTAACTTTCTGTATTGTCAACGCTTTCAAGTGACAGGTAGACCATAGGGAGCATTCCTTATTACCAGGCCCCTCCTCAAGTTACCTGTTTACACTGTTTTAGCTCCCCTGAGAGAGAATGAATAAGACAAATCACATCTCTGTTTGCTTTTGCACAATGATGCCTGTCAGAAACCCTGAAGTGAGGAACTGGGGGAAAATAAATACATGGGTAATAACAAAACACAAACTAATAAAAAAGTAAATGTTTACGAGGAGTTGAATGAACGTGAATAGAAACTCAAATTGTGTGTTTTCTCAAGAAGTTTACTCTAACTGTTGACTGAATTGATTGTTTGAATTGTTCTCCTTAACTTGCCTCCTGTACTGATATGAATGAAGTATACCACCTCCTGTCCAACATGGTGAAAGACACTGGATCAGAGACCTACTTCCTGTCAATTCTTCAACACCTTTTGCTTATCAGGAATGACTATTACATCAGGTAAGTTCTTTGATTTTTACAAACAGCTTGTCTCTTAAATAACCTAATGAAGTTCCTCTGTGTTTGGATATACTCACCATTGTTTTTTATGGAAGTACATAGTTGTGTTGCTTCTGTGGGTGTGTTTCATTGTCTTTGACAACACAAACATACAACCAGGTATTTGTTTTGTACATTGTTCCCCCCAAAACTTAAAGATGTATTCAAGTTTGGAGCAAAACCTAAAATATCTTGATATTTCTGTAACTTAGTTTGCATATAACTGCTGCCCATGAACGCAACATCTATTAGCTCAGAGAAGAGTGGTCTAAATGTCATGTGGAACTTGACTTGAAAGACACACTGACCCATAGAACATAATGACACACATTAATTCCTTCCGTGCAAGCTCACATTTAACAATGTTGAGCAGGTGGCAATTTATTAGAGTAGTAATAATTTCTTTATTATTCAAGTATTATGTCATTTTAAATGGTTGGGCTTGCTTTCTGCCTTTCTTTTGAGGATCAAATAAGTCATACACTGGGAAGGAAAGCTTCTCCTCTGAATGGAGTGACACTGATGAATTCACTGCTGTGTCAGACCTTTTTGCAGAAATAAGACTTTAAAAAACAGGAGGGGCGTGTGACTTTACCATAGACAAGTTGCCGGTGCTTTGGAGTTATAAATTATTCATTCCACATCTCCTCTTAGGAAGTGAGAAATGAAATTCACATTAACCAGCTAGTTCAGCCCACCTCAGCTCCAGTGTCCATGTCCGCCTCTGTGAGAAAACACTGCGAGCGATCAGTACCAGCGCTCATAAAAAATGATCGTCTTTTTAAAGATATGTTTTTGAAATATTTTTTCCCTCCAGCCTCCATCACAAATGCAAGGACACACCCACACATGTGGACACACAGACATCTATACTAGGAATTCATTTTGACCGAGGCAGTTTATTACACATACATCACTGGTGTGTGATTTCACATGATAGAAGATGCAGTACCACGGTACATGCAGCTTTTTTCCATACATACTATCCATATTTTTTCAGTCTTTGCCAATAAAGTAATGATCCTTTCATGTCATGGTCAACATCGGGTGACTTTGAAATAGTAATAGTACAATGTCCCATTAGAAGTAGTTGTGCGATCGATCACAATCATGCATCTCCAAGAATGTGTCATAGCAACAAAAAGCTCTAGTCACAATTGTTTAATGTCCTGCATGTTGTAGACACGTGTGACCTATTGTTGCTTTGTCTTCGAATTGTGCTCATAATATTCCATCTAAAATAAATTATTAGGTTGTTATTTTATTGTATTTCTTGGAAATAATAGCACACATTGTAGCTTGATTCATACATCAACTACATATCTAAATTCAATGATAATTAATGTATCAGTATAATACATATTCTAATAATAACTTCAACAGCGGGCCAAGGGTTTAAGTGCTCTGTCTACTGTCATTCCTCCTAACACAACATTAGTTGTTGCGCTCCCCTCTGGGACTTGGTTTATTTTTGATAATTAATCTCTCACTGCAAGCCTAATGAATGGGAGCACACCAAACCCACCCAGTAAATATAGAGCAGATCTGCTCTTTTGGAGCCTAGTGATATGGGGATTAAACTGGTTATGTGGAGCAGAGCTGGATCAAGTGGCTTGGGCTGTGCTGAACTGCGAGCTATCATTGGAAGAAATAGAAGGTGCCAAAGTGAAAGAAGAGGTGGGGAATGATGCAGGGGACATTTGCCTGCTTCTGGAGCCCAGCCCTGCCCACTGTGGAGGGGCCTGACAGTTCTGGGTCACTCTCTGCATCTCTAGTTATCTCCACCCAGCCCCTATCTGCTGGGTGGTGGCGGAGGATGGAGGACGGAGGGAAAATAGGGCGGCTTATTGAGATAATAATGTGGTGTACATTGGTGACAGTTGTAAGCCGAGTGCCACAGTGCTTAAGCCATGCAGGGCGATGTGTGAGCTTTCACTAGCTTGTTCCAATCATGAGTGGGCGAATCTACCAGCTCAAGCTTAATGTATGGCATTTCATGCTTTCAAAACAGTGCACCTAAATGCTGATTTATTTTTATTTGCTTTGGCTCAGAATTGTGTGTTTTTCCTTATTTCTGTTCATAATGTGATATGGCCTGTCCACCCACAAGGCACCAGCACAACATAGCTGTTAGATATATGGGCAACAGTGAGAAAGCTTTGGAAATAAACTTCATTTCGTTTAAATATTGATAAAATAAGTTGCTGTTTTTCATGTTCCTTTTATTTTCAACACATACTTAGATATAAGTGCTTTCTTGGAATTAGACAAATTCACCCTCCTGAAAACACTTTGCTCACATCTCCGCCTGCCCAAATCAATTATTACATTTCAATAACGCGAATCAAATCAAACTTTATTCTTAGAGGACTTTTCCAACACAATGGTAAAGTGCTTTGTAAAACCAAAAACATTAACAACAATGAGGAACAATACAAAGCTCCCCTTTCCAGTTAATAAACACATAACACATTAATAAGAACACCTACTACCAACAAAGGACTGAATAAAACAATAATAAAACAATAAAATGAAGATACAAATAAGATTATGCAATAATACATTGAGAATAAATATCAATTAAAATCAAAATTAAAAAGGAGGGTCTTGAATTGGCACTTAAAGTATGAACATCCCCCCCCTCCTCAGCCCTACGGGAGGCTGTTCCACACTTGTGGGCTGTAATAATAAAAAGACGCCTCTCCATGGGTCTTTGTTTTCACTTCAGGTGTAATTAAAAGGCCAGCACCAGAAGACCTGAGGGTTCTAAAAGGTTTATGAGGTGAAATACCATTAAGAGCTTTAGAAAACAATAAAACAATTTAAATATCAATTCTAAAGCTCACAGGTAACAAACGCACAGTTTGAATCAGAAATGCAACAATTAGTTGGTGTCATCCACATGCGTTTGCTCCTGTGATTGTTGTTAGTAATTTAATGAACATCTCTTTTCTAACTGAATTATTCTCGAGGATTATTAAGGGTCAGTTTTTCTACTCCAGATTCCTCCGTCCAATTGCAATAAATGTAGCTTGAGTGGTAATTGGACGGAGGAATCAGGTGTAGAAAACTGATCCTTAATAATTATCGAGAACAATTCAGTTAGAAAAGAGCTGTTCCTTAAATTAGTAACAGCTATCACAGAAACTGACTCTAGACATTGTAATATTCACAACAAAAAGTATTTGACACATTTTACTTACTTGAATCTGACAAATCCAGTCCAATGAAACAAAGAGATGTTGCTCGTTTGAAGATTTGGAAGTTGCGTATGGCCAGAGGGCAGGACCCATACACACATTTAATACCCGATAGCATTGTGAGGCTGAACAAAAGGACCTTTTGATTATGTAAATGTAGTATTTCTATCCAAAAAACAAAACATTTACTGACTTTTTTAGGATAACTTAAAGGTGGGGTAGGTAATTTTGGAGAAACCAGCTCGAGTGCGCTAGAATTTGAAAATACACAGCCTGAAAAAAATCTGCCACTTCCTTACAGAGCCCCTCCTCCAACACACACAAACTTGCACATGACCAATGAGGGCACGAGATAAGTTTGTGCACAGATGGAAGGCTGACAGGCAGGTAGGCCATCCAGTTATTTTAGCCGGGCTGATGATTGGTCGTGCTTTTTACAGTACTAAGGCTTCCAGAGATGACATTTTTTTATGGATTTTTTGTCAAAGCACTTAAGATATTCATTGCTATCGGGATGTTAAGAGCATTCCATGGAATATAACAAAAAGTCTATCTCGAGCCGGTTTCTCAAACTTACCTACCCCACCTTTAAAGTAATGTTGTAAAATTACAACCGGGGGCCTTACAGGGTTAAGAGGAACACAAAACAAGTTGTCTCTTCCGTGAATTTAACCATCAACTTCTGGTCAATGTCATGCTATGAAATAAATTATTTCTCAGTTTGGAGCTCATCTTACGCTGCCATTGTATTTGCAAAATGTCACTTGCAATTAGAGTTGATAATGTTACTGAGAAAAGGTCACATAGAAACCTGCGTGGCGGTATTGGACTCTGGGGCTCATTCACACACCCCGCTCAACAACACCAAGCACTCAGTCTCACTCCTAACTGGCCGAAATGTTTTCCCGGTCATTGTGCTTTCAATTACACACATCTCACTGATTAGATTTACATTTCACTTTTTATGGTTGCTCTAATTGGCAAAGATGATTGCAAATTAGGCAAGAGGGCAAGCGTAGCCTTGGCTACCGTCTGTCACCTTGAAATGGACAGACTAACACACACCTGGCTTCTGGGTGCCCATTAATCTGCTAATTTCATGATCGGGGTGAAGCAAGTGATCAAATTTAATAGGGTTCCTATTTTCTCCAGCGGTACACTTTCTGACATGGCATTTTGTGACCTCTAGCTCGGATAAGGGAATTATTTGTGGCTAATTAGCCTTGTAGAGTTTGTGTCAGTCATATATTTCTGTGGCTTGTCTAATTGTTCTGCTTCATGTTTTTTGACCCCTCAGGCCTCAGTATTACAAGGTGATAGAAGAATGCGTGTCCCAGGTGGTTCTGCATCGCAGTGGGATGGACCCTGACTTTGGCTACAGTAAACGATTGGACGTGGACTTCACCCACCTGATTGGTACTTTTTGAATGGCTTCCCATTTCCTCATTCATTCATTTGACATTTGTGTTGGCAATGGTTTAAAATGATTCATAAAAGTCTTAAAATGTTGTAGTCAAGATCCTTATATCCAAACATTATCCTCAATTTCACTTGTTTTGAACTAAACACGTACAGGAGGCATGTTATTGATGTTAGTAAAAAAGGTCACTCTATTTATCCACCCTGATATTTTCTCTGACAAACACCTGCAGTGGTTCGACCTATAAGACAAGGTCGTCTGATTATTCATGAATAATACATTATATCTGGTCAAATGAATTCAGCCAGTTCAAAAACATTGCACATGTGGTTTTCCTGAGTTACTCATTTGCAGAGCGATGTTCCTCGAATCATAGGCAAAACATCTTTTTGCACTGCATTTCTAATGGAGATTTACTTTCAAACAGAGAAAATATATAAATAACACCACTTTCTCGCATCTGTTGTGTCACAAACAGTTCTGCGACTTGCCAACAAAGGTTCATTATGCTTAAGTTTCTAACACATTCAGAGAGAAATATCATATTATTGAATAAGTTATTTCACTCACTTTACTGCAATTTAATCAGTTGAGGAAAATACTTATAACAACATGTTTTGTTAAATTCACATAAAATGAAATAGGTGACATTACATATAGTCATGAGTCATTTGAAGGTGCGTCTCCTCTATTCTTCTTTCCCGTTTTCTTTCACATTCCGGTGTTTCCTATTTTGAGAGGGGTAAACCTGCTGCGCGATGTGTGATCTAACAATCATTTACACCTAAAACTTGCACATACACGATCCTTCAGGTGATTAATTTCTAGGTTAATTGTACCATGTATGGGCTTTTGAACATCTACCCAAATACAACAAAAAAACGAAACACACAAAAAGGAATTTGAAAAAAGATACGTTGGCAGAACACTGTTTCTGTTTAGTACTTTTCCACTATTCAAATAAAACATTTTGACTGATGTCACGCAGACTGTATGTAAAGTACATTTTGAACATATCATAAAATGCTATACCCTTAACATCTAAGGTTATATGATTCATATGAAGGGCTTAAATTCCTTCATGATGTACTTTTTACAAATTGTTATAGTGATAAGCATCTATGATTTATAACAGCTTTGTAAGCCAATCTTAAGATGTAAACATTTAATAGATCTAACATACCATTTTAGATAGATTTCCAATCATACAAGCTCTAATATACTTTGAGAAACACGAGCCAGGTCTAATTGTAACTTTCACATCAGCAGGTAATGATGCACATCGCTCCTTTGAAGTGTCTCCTAACTGTGGCTCTCTTGTCTTGCAGATCAGTGTGTGGATAAAGCCAAAGTTGAGGAGAGTGAGCAGAATGCTGCAGAGTACTCCAAAAAGGTGAGACATTAATCACTCCCAACAGCCCCCTCGGTCGGCTGGCTCCCATCAGGAAAGTTTTTCCTCCCTAAGAGCTCCCAGACAAGCTATTGATTTTCCATGCCCTGATCAATACCTGGGTGTGACGCTACATGATCTGTATCAGCATTACAAGAATCAATGCCGATGTACTGATGTATACTTATTTGTGCACAGTGCCGGGACAGAGTTAAAATATGTGCCGGCTCTTTTAATTCTGTTCTGCATTTCAAGCTGGCTCTTCAAGGGGTTCTCCCTTTATCTAACATTTCCTTTTCAGGTAATTACATAGATTAATGGTTGAGAAGGTAGCAATTTCTAAAAATAACTTTTCTTTAGCGCTGATCAAATCTGAATCAATACTCTTCAGTACCAATTTCTTGCCTCAATTGCATTACAGTATACTGTTTTGCTGTATGATGAAAACGTTAGTTGACAGAATATTTATCTCATGCACTGCTGTCAAATGTTTTTTTTTATCAAAGGTTCCCAAATTAAACTTCAATTGTGTCTTTTATTAATTTGATATTGAAAACTTATCATTTGAAACCTTACCTCCTGCTTATGTTTTATGATGTTTTAATGTATCTTAAAGAGCCTCACTTTCCCTGGCTGGCAAAACACCCAGGGGGTCCTGGATGTTTTTTTCCTCAAGAATCCTGTGATAGCAGCCCACCGCCTACCCTGCTGGGCCATTGAAATCATTGTAGCGACATGTCTTGGTTTCTGCAAAGGTTAGATCCATCAACATTAATGAAAGCCATGCCTGACACAAAGACGGAGGACACCAGGGTTTTGGGGCCATGAGAGCTATGAATAGAAATCGGCCAGTGTAAGACAGCGTGTTTTGGTTGCTGTTGATGTGCCCTGTGGCTGCTCTCTGGAGACAATGTGCCGCTCACCAACCTGTGTGTGTGTTTTCATCTATCTCATATGAGCACATACTTGCTTTTCTTTTCTGACAGTTTGATGAGGAGTTCAGTGCACGGCAGGAGGCCCAGGCCGAGTCTCAGAAGAAGGAAGAGAAGATCAAAGAGTTGGAGGGGAAAATCCAGGCCCTGGAGTCCCAGGTAAATCCATACAGAGGAATCCCACTGCTCTGCAAAACAGTTTTGTATTCCCCTAGACATCTTTTAGATATATGTTTTCCAAAAAAAGCACAAAACAGAAAGTACTGCAAATTCTAATATCCAAAAGTTCTTTTGATCACTGTTCTAAGTGGGAAAAAAACACTCATGCAATCTTATATTGGAAAAAACAGGATGTTTATCCTCCAGAGGCAGGGCCGTTTCTAGCTTTTTGGGGGCCCTATGCAAGATGCTGTTTGGGGGCCCTAGTTTTTACAGTTTTTTAACTACAATGGGGGAATTCCGAAGCCTTTAAGATGATCTGTGGAGATGCATCAATCTGTTACACTTTAAGAGGAAAACAGGCTAATTTCACGAAAACCAAGCAATTGAAACTTACAACAAATGATATTAAAAAGGTAAACAATAAGGCTCCTCTATGTCAATGAATGCAAGAGATGCAGCATTTTCTCAACAATGTGACAGCCCAACGATGATTTGGACTTTATTACCCCAAAAACACAAGCCACAGCTTTGCTATCGTTGCAGTTGAGTTGTGTTTATATCCTACATTTTATTTCTAAGCATATAATGCTTCACCGAACACAGGAGGGGGCTTGGCTGTCTACAAATAAAGACCGCTAATTTTAATTAGATTACTACGAATCAGGGAATAGCAAGTTCGAGTCCCACTGCAGTCAGCAGGTCGTTGTGTCCCTGGGCAAGGCACTTCACCCCAAATTGCTCCTGTGGGGATTGTCCACAGTACTGAATGTGTGTAAGTTGCTTTGGATAAAAGCGTCTAACAAATGACATGTAATGTAATGTAATTATCCCCAAATATATTGAGGCTGAACCTGAACTTTCAGCTTGGGGGCCCCCTAGTGGCCCTATGTGGCCCTATGTGTCTGCATAGTCTG